CGTGTGTGCGGTCGTCCGGGTGTCCGGGGTTGCGTGTGTGCGGTCGTCCGGGTGTCCGGGGGTGCGTGTGTGCGGTCGTCCGGGTGTCCGGGGGTGCGTGTGTGCGGTCATCCGGGTGTCCGGGGATGCGGGTGTCCAGGCACGGCGTGGGAGGGGAGCGGTGGGTGACGGCGGCGCGAGCGCCGGAGGAAGAGCCCTGGAACCTGAACGGCGCTGCGTCGCGTTTGCTGTTTCCATCTTAGGGACACGCGGGCGGCTCGGCGTTTCTCAGAAGGCTTCAGCGGCTCTAGATGTCTGAAGCTCTAACGTCTAGTGCACCAGGTAGCGGCCACCCGGACGTCCCTTTCTGCATTGGCAGAAGAAAGCCGGAGCCGCGTCTCTGGAGTGAGGCTGTGCACAAAGTCCAGGCTGGCGTCCGTGGGTGATGCGACCTTCAAGGCTGTTTCCTCTTGCGATTTTGAGAACCTGCTTCACTGCTGCGGACCAAGGTCCGCTGGGAGCTCTGCACCGCTGAGAACGGCGGTGGCTTTCCCGCCACGAAATGATGGGATGCTGGGATCTGCTTCCCAATTAGCTGGGTCTGAGTGTGGGTGGAAACAGGTAAAATGAAATTGGCTTTAAGTTGGTAATTCCTGAAACTGGTGGGTGGGCACATGGCCTTCATTAGGTTCTCTGCTTTGTGCTTGAGATTTGTCATTAAAAAAAAAGTAAAGGGACAGTGAAACCCTATACCCCATTTCTCAGTTAGCCACAGCTTCCATCCCATGGGAATTATGTCAAACGTTGCTAACTATTCATCAAAGTCTTCCTCACTGTTAGTCTGCTCCAGCTGCCATAGCAAAGCACCATAGCTCGGGTGGCTGAAATAACGATTTATTTTCTCATCGTTCGAAGTCCAAGATCCAGGGGCCAGTGGGGTCGATGCTTGGGGAGGGCTCTCCCGTTGAGTTGCAGACAGCTGCACTCGCACTGCCTCTGCATGGCGGAGAGTACTGTGGTATCTCTTCCTCTTCTTGTAAGTCCAGTTACAATCAACTTGGGGGTCATGGCTTCAACATATGAATTTTGGAGGGACACAATTAAGTCCATAGCACTCAACTACTTCCGGAAGAATAGGACTGTACTGGGCACATCGCTGCCCTGTGAGACTCCCTCTCCCAGCCCTCCTTGCAGTCAGATGTGACCAGGTATCGAAGTTACCTACCGCTAATGAAATGTGAGCAAACCTGGCAGGTGCACCTTCAGGCAGCAGGTTCCCACCCTGCACTTTCTGTCCCTGACACACCCCTTGTTGCAACCCAGCCTTGACCACATAGACAATAGTGAGGTCCTTTGGGGGCAGACACCACACTAGAAGGAACCTGAGTGACCCCATGGAGCATGACTGCCCACATCCTGTACTCTTCACACTGGGGCTGTTACACAGAGAAATACAATTCTGTCTTTTCTAAGCCGCTGAATTTTGTTGGGGTTTCTTTGTTACAGTATCTTAGCCTTCCCCTAAAGCACTGGTTCTTTTTTT